TTTTTAAAAATACACCTTGGAGGGGCTACCCTGGTGGCACAGTGGTTGAGAGTCCACCTGCCGATGCAGGGGACACGGGTTCGTGCCCCAGACCGGGAAGATCCCACATGCCGCAGGGCAGCTGGGCCCGTGAGCCATGGCCGCTGAGCCTGCGCGTCCAGAGTCTGTGCTCCGCAGTGGGAGACGCTGCAACAGTGAGAGGCCCGCGTACCACAAAAACAAACAAAACAAAAAAATACATCCTGGGACGTCCCTGGTGGTCCAGTGGTTAAGACTCCATGCTTCCAATGCAGGGGGCGCGGGTTCGATTCCTGGTCGGGGAACTAAGATCCCACATGCGCAGGGTGCGGCCAAAAAACAAAAAACCTCAAAGAAATTCTCGTTTTAAGCAAACATCCTGACAAAATTATTTATATAATCGTATGTTCATAAAACGATCAAATTTTGAGCTTTCACATGAAAGCTTTCAGAAACATACAAAGAGGTCTATATGAATTGAGAAGTTATGAAGATAATACAGACAGCCAAGCAAAGTCAGCTCATTAAATTTGTTTGAAATTCTGTCTAGAAATATTGAGGGAATGTACTTCATTTCCTCTATACTTCATCTATAAGAAACATTTATGTATATAAAACTTGATTTAATCATGAATTGCACCAGAAATGTAATAACCTGAATTCTTAAGATATGAACAAATGAAATTACTAATAACTTTACACATAATTCATATATAAAGAGTGAAGATGCCAATGAACTAAAGAAATAGACGGATTAAAAATACTATATTACTAAACTAGTGTTGAGTGTGTATAGTTTTAACGCTGTAAGATGAAAAAGTTATAGAGATTTGTTACACAATGTGAATGTATTTAACACTGCTGAGCTGTACACTTAAAAATCGTTAAATGTTAAATTTAATGTTGTTTTACTTTTACCACAATAAAAAAATTTTTTTAAATACTGTATTGTTTGTTAGCATGCTTCATTTGATAACTTATGAAAGGCCTAAAATGAATATGTTAACAAAAATATATGGCAGGGCTTCCCTGGTGGCGCAGTGCTTGGGGGTCCGCCTGCCGATGCAGGGGACGCGGGTTCGTGCCCCGTTTCGGGAGGATCCCACGTGCCGCGGAGCGGCTGGGCCCGTGGGCCGTGGCCGCTGGGCCTGCGCGTCCGGAGCCTGTGCTCCGCAAATGGGAGAGGCCGCAACAATGAGAGGCCCGCATAACGCAAGAAAAAAAAATATATATATATGGCAGAAAATATTAGCTCTAACATAATTTTCACCAGTACAAATTATTTGCAAGACAAAAAAAGAAATAATAAAGGCTGAAATTTAATTCTCTAATGTGTTTTTCTGTACATTTCCTCTAACCACTGTGTTTACTGCACAAGAAAGATTTAAAATCTCACGTCTAATGTCTTTTATCTTAAAAATTATGGTGAATAACAGATGACTAGAAAATCTTCTCCTTCTCAATAACTGAATCCAGCCAATGAATATTATACAACAGTCATAAAGTAAACTTTTTCTTTTTTTTAAATTTTTTACAAAACTTTTTGGCCACGTCGTGCGACTTGCAGGATCTTAGTTCCCCAACCAGGGATCGAACCCGCACCCTCGGCAATGAAAGCTTAGAGTCCTAACCACTGCACCATCAGGGAATTGCCAAGTAAACATTTTCAATTGAAGTAAATTAAAAACATGATGAAATATTCCATATTAATTTAGGTTATTTTTACCATACAATTGCTATTTAATGGTTACCTATAATTCTATCTCAAAAATCATACAGAACACTTCTATAAAACATACCTTTTATTTAGGAAAATAAGTTATTTTATCATAAATTCAAAGATTCTAGAATATGGCTGAGGCAATGAAATCTCTCCTTTTGAGAGAGGTTTAAAAAACCAGATTTACTTTCACTGCGGTTTAACACAAAAAGAGAAAAATGAAGAATAAAAAAGGATCAAAGTTGAAAATAAACATGAGTTCTCTCTTATTGTCAAATTTACTAAATACACAACTCCTTAGTCATTTCCATTAAAAAAAAAAGTATATTACATGACATGCCTACAGTTTCACAATAGCAATCCTGCAATATCACAGGCTAAAATAGGCTTTCACTTCAAAATGTTAACAGTTCATATTTAAACAAACAATTCAGAAGACTCCTAACCCAATAAGGGACCATACAACACAAGCCAATAAATAAAAGTGAGGTACATGGACTACTGGTGAAAATAAACCTTATGTGTACACAGATACATATTTTTAATTTTAATTATTATGCATTCATTTTTACAGCTTGCTTATTACAGCAAAGAAGGTTGATTCCCCATCTAGGGTAATGATGCACACATTCTGAAATACACTTATTTAGGTATAAAATAGGGTCAATTTAAAGAGAAACATGAAATTAAAATGGCATAGATGATATGCAGATTTGGCAATACTGTGAAGGTGAGCTGTGAATGACTTTTTTTTTTTTTTTTTTTTTTTTTTTTTTTTGGCAGTACGGGGGCCTCACCGTTGTGGCCTCTCCCATTGCGGAGCACAGGCTCCGGACGCGCAGGCTCAGCGGCCCTGGCTCACGGGCCCCGCCGCTCCGCGGCATGTGGGATCTTCCCGGACTGGGGTACGAACCCCTGTCCCCTGCATCGGCAGGCGGACTCCCAACCACTGCGCCACCAGGGAAGCCCCCTTCATTTCTTTTTCATTTATTTCTGCT